ATTTCAAAAACTACTCATCGTAGAGTATTTTAACCTGTTGCATCGGATTCAGCGTGAGATTTTATATCTGAAATACAATATTTCAAGGGTTTTTGCGACGAAAAGTTGATTGATCATTTTTCGATTTACATTCAAAAATCAAAAAAATATTTTTTTTAAACTTGACTCAACAACGTTGTATGTTCTTTTCTATGTTTCTAGGGCCAGTACAAGTGCAGAAAACGTCATTTTCACAAAGAAAACAAATGAGAATAATGATATTTTGAAAAAAAAATTATTTAGCATTACTTAAAAAAAGTCTAAAACTAGAATAAAATCATTTATTAAATAATTATTTTAATTTTTGTGAATAAAATTCAGTGAATTTTCTTTCTTTAAAATTAAACGAGATACTAAAAATCCTTTCAATTTGATCCGCGTTCGTAATTCCATCAGCACCTGGCTAAACATCGCCTAATCGAATTGTCGTCGAACACACTTCCATCGCAATCCGTAAATAAATTCCCCACGTTTCAGAAAACGACGTCGTAAATGTTCTCATAATAAAACAGTTCGAGTGTGAAAGTGGATTTTTGCTGTATAGAAAACACCTCACAAAAGGCCAAATTCTCGAATAAATCCACATTCGAATAAAAAATTAATAAGTTTCCCCCGTTGTAAGATCACAAGTATCTCGTTAGCGTCCGAAAGAATGTAAAAGGAAGAATCGTTGAACTTGTATCGACATAATTAGAGGTGTAAAAACATCCCAAGCGCGGCTTTTAGACGGATAGCCGCCGTGGGTCTCGACCATCCGAAGAATTCCCAAAAAATTCAATATCAAGCACAAGATTACAGTTTAAAACATTAAGTCATAGTCACACTGCTGTAGGTGAAACCGACTCCGGACTCCACTCGGCCATGAGGTTTTTCGAGGTGGTGGAGACCGGAGTTCGAGGCAGGAGTGAGATGGGCCGGTGTCGGCAAAGGCCCTCAAAGGCCCCGTATTAGTCACACCTGCCAGTTACTACCAGCGAGCCCCAACCGGCCAAACAGAATGATTTGGCGATATCATTAATAATACTCCAGCTACAACCACTTGTCTTTGGTCATTTGCATTATTCAAAATTCGCGCCCACACGCAGGGACGGACTGCCACAAAAATGGAACAAATCGGGCAACAAAGCGGAAATACTGACCACTAAATAATAAAATTTTGATTATTTTGGCAAAGAAAAGTAATAATTTCAAAAACTGAGTTCTTCCGCATTCTTCAAATTGTGATTAGACTTATTTGAGCTTAGAAAATTATAATGATTTTTAGCGCATTTCTAAATCAAATTAAATGTTTTTCAATATTTTTTGTTTAAATTTTAATAATAATAATAATCTTGAGAGAGTTATAAATGGCAAATTAAAGATGTGTCACATGTCATACAGTTATCCTAAGTTTTCAGCTTTATTGAAATTGTGCATAGACTTATTTGAGCTTGTTTGTTTAGCCAAAGATTTTTCTCTTACAAATTTACTGTAATTTGAATTATTTTTGATGCGTTCCTGAACAAAATAAAAGATCTGTCATATAATATATACAGAGAAGTTTGCCACTTTGGTACAATTGTGATTGTTATTTTAGCTTACGAACTTTAACAAATTCTTTACTTTTTAATTTTTTTGCGGTTTCAATATTGTTGACATTCTTCTAACCAAAAACGGTCACCAATAGTAAAAAAAATAATTGGTTAGCTACATAATTTTTAAAAATAAGTCTTAAAAATTTAAAAATTTTGTAGTAATGAATTCTCAAACTAAGTTCTAAATGACAAATCAAAAGTGTATTACATATGTTGTACATACAGTTTTAGGCTTTATTGAAATTAGATTTAGTTAAGCTTTGTTAAATAATCTAAAGCTTTTTTTTCTTTTAAAATTCTAATTATTTTTGACGCATTTCTAAATAAAAGCAATTACCCATAAAGAAAGACTTGATTGGTTTACACTTTTATTTGTTGGAATTTTAATAAATCTCATCAAATAAAATAATATAGTTAAACTAGTTTCCGCTTTGTTGAAATTGCGTTTAGATTTATTTCAGGTAATTTACTTAACCAAACCTTTGTTTCTCTTTTTCGTATTTTTGTAATTTAAAAACCAATTGTTATTGATTTTTTTATTTATTGTATAAGATTTCAAAAAAATTGAAAGTAATAAATTTTCAAACTGGACTGCCACAAAAATGGAACAATTCGGGCAACAAAGCGGAAATACTGGCCACTAAATAATAAAATTTTGATTATTTTGGCAAAGAAAAGTAATAATTTCACAAACTGAGTTCTTCCGCTTTCTTCAAATTGTGATTAGACTTATTTGAGCATATAAAATTATAATGATTTTTAGCGCATTTCTAAATCAAATTAAATGTTTTTCAATATTTTTTGTTAAAATTTTAATAATAATAATAATCTTGAAAGAGTTACAAATGGCAAATTAAAGATGTGTCACATGTCATACAGTTATCCTAAGTTTTCAGCTTTATTGAAATTGTGCATAGACTTATTTGAGCTTGTTTGTTTAGCCAAAGATTTTTCTCTTACAAATTTACTGTAATTTGAATTATTTTTAATGCGTTTCTGAACAAAATAAAAGATCTGTCATATAATATATACAGAGAAGTTTGCCACTTTGGTACAATTGTGATTGTTATTTTAGCTTACGAACTTTAACAAATTCTTAACTTTTTAATTTTTTTGCGGTTTCAATTATTGTTGACATTCTTCTAACCAAAAACGGTCACCAATAGTAAAAAATAATTGGTTAGCTACATAATTTTTAAAAATAAGTCTTAAAAATTTAAAAATATTGTAGTAGTTGAATTCTCAAACTAAGTTCTAAATGACAAATCAAAAGTGTATTACATATGTTGTACATACAGTTTTAGGCTTTATTGAAATTAGATTTAGTTAAGCTTTGTTAAATAAGCCAGAGCTTTTTTTTTCTTTTAAAATTCTAATTATTTTTGACGCATTTCTAAATGAAAGCAATTACCCATAAAGAAAGACTTGATTGGTTTACACTTTTATTTGTTGGAATTTTAATAAATCTCATCAAATAAAATAATATAGTTAAGCTAGTTTCCGCTTTGTTGAAATTGCGTTTAGATTTATTTCAGGTTATTTACTTAACCAAACCTTTGTTTCTCTTTTTCGTATTTTTGTAATTTAAAAACCAATTGTTATTGATTTTTTTATTTATTTTATAAGATTTCAAAAAAATGAATGAAAGTAATAAATTTTCAAACTAATTTCTAAATGGCATATTAAAAACGTCTTATCATAACTCGAAGTTTTACGCTTTTTTGAAGTTTTGATTAGATTTACTTGAGCTTGTTTACTTGGCTAAAAACTTTTTTCTCTCTCATTTTATTTAAAATGTTTTACTATTTTTTTTAAATTTTATTACATTTCAAAAAAAAAGAACGTAGTAATTTCTCTTAGAACTCATACTGCTAGCTTGAGTTTTCCGCTTT